GAATGTGGATATCACCAAAAGGACTAACCATAACAATGGGGCTATTACCTTTCATGTAATCCTCTCTGAAGTCTCCCTCCAGCCGGCAGTAAGGAAAAGGGGGTGGGAATGTGATGCCTGAGACTGTCGCTGGAAGAAGGGAGTGATTGGGTGGGGCTACTGGGGAACCCCTTAAAACCTTGAATGGGAGAGCTTGGACCCCAAGTCCTGTCTAGAACGCCTGCAACCATTTTCTCTTAATAAAAGATGCCTGTTGGAAGAACTATTCCAAGAGTTCTGTCTTCTTAAGATGCAAAGTGGGGTGGGTCCTTACACTATCTATTACCAAAAGACCTCTTAGATCTTATTTTCGGGGGATGGAGGGAGGGAGACAGAGAGACAAAGACAGAGACACACAGAGACAGAGACACACACGCACACACACACACACACACACAGAGAGAGAGAGAGAGAGAGAGAGAGAGAGAGAGAGAGAGAGAGAGAGATTCAAAAAGCAAGACATCAGAAGGCAAGACAAAAAACAATGGATGGAAACTAATAAAGGAGAGAAGTGACCTGGAATTAAGGAGAAACTTCCTAATAGTGAGAATAATTAACTGGGGAACAGCTTGCCTTCCAAAGTTGTAGGTGCTTCATCACTGGAGGTTTTTAAGAAAAGACTGGACAGCCAGCTGTCTGAAATGATATAGAGTCTCCTGCTTGGACTAGAAAACCTCCAAGGTCCTTTCCAGTTCTATTCTGATTCTGATAAAAGGAATGTAGACTCCAGATTTCAGGAAATAATTATCTCTCTATTCTACCTTGATTAGATCTCACTTGGAGAATGAATGACATTGTCTTAGGTGTATACTACAGGCCACCCAACCAAGCAGAAGAAATAGATGAATTTTTTGCTAATCAGTTAACTAGTCTGATTATTTGAACTATTTAATTTTTTAAAAAGTATCCATATTATTACAGAATTATTTTGACAGGGACAATTTCTGGATCCAGTTTTTCATTCTCCTTTTTGCCTGGACTGAAGAGATTTGCATTCTTAGTGGAAAGATTTTGCTATGGACATCCATAAAGGAAAAATGAAAGGAGGAAATGAGATTAATACATTGCTGCGGTGATATAATACAGAGGCCTTGCCCATCATCTGGGAACAGTTTGACCCTGCTGGGCCTGATGGAGTGGGCAGGGTCCTCCATGCTGCCAGGGCAACCATCTCTCAATTAGATCCTTGTCCCACCTGGCTGATGAAAGCATCCAGGGTTTAAGCAGAGATAAATTTCTCACTGCAGGAGGGGATATTCCTGGAGCATTTCAAGGAGGCCCTGGTTTGCTCCATTCTTAAAAAACCCCATCGCTTGATCCCACCTGCTTGGACAAGTTATGTCCAGTTTCCCTTCTTCCCCTCTTAGGGAAGGTGGTAGAAAAGCTGCTCGCCTGGCAGCTTCAGAGGGTCCTGGATGGAGCAGAGTATCTGGACCCTTTTTAGTCAGGATTCAGGGCATTGCTCTCACTTGCTGGTGATCTCTGGCAAGAGGGGGATGGGGGTAGTGCAACCATCTTCATTCCCTTGATCTCTCAGCAGCCTTTGATGCCATCAACCATGGTATCCTTTTGGGCCAGCTGCAGGATTTGGGGCTGGGTGACTCACTTCTGTGTTGGTTTGGCTCCTTTCCTCAAGGACGGTCCTAATCGGTGTTAACAGGGAGTGAGAGTTCCTGCCCACGGCCATTCCTTTGCCAAGTGCCACAGGGCTTGGGACTCTCTTCACTCCTTTTGAACATCTACCTGAAGCTGCTAGGTGAGACCATTTGCCACCCCTATGCTGATGGTTCTCAACTTGTTATCTGCACCCTGGTGATCCAAGTGATGTTGTTGCCGGCCTCTCGCAGAGTGTGGAGGCTGGATGGGGGACAGCAGGCTTTGGCCGAACCCTGGCGAGATCATTGACTTTGGGTGCACACAGCTTCAAGATCTGGGTCTTGAACATCTTTAGTTCTGGGTGGGATGGCTTTGCCCCAGACGCTTCCAGCCCACAGCTTGGGGCCTCTCCTGGACTCAGGCCTCCTGTTCAAAGAGCAGGTGGTAACTGTGGCTAGGAGAGCCTTTGTACAACCTTGTCTCGTGCACCAGCTGTGGCCCTTCCTGGATCAGGAGTCCCTGCGCTCAGTCACTCAAGCCATGATCGTCTCACATTTGGACTGCTGCAATGCACTCTACATGGGGCTACCCTTGAAGAGCATCCCGCTGGCACAGAGTGTGGTGGCCGGGCAGTTCTTAGGGCCCCTAGAGTGGCGCATGTTACCCCACTGCTCCCCGAGCTGCACTGGTTGCCAGTTTGCTTCTGGCTGCATTTTAATGCTGCAAGCCAACCAGAGTAATTTAGTTATGAGATCGGTGACAAATAAATTTAACAAACAAACAAATAAATTTTTCAAAGAAATTTAGTGAAAGAGGAAATATTTTAATTTCTGGACTGTACTGCCATAATAAGATATTTCGGCATACTATATAGGTTTTGCTCTTTAATGCTTTTGAAGAAGATGCTGTGAGGTTTTTAAAAAATGTAATGGTCAACAATCAGCTCAAGAAATCAAATAAAACTCCAGGTTCATTCTGTTTCTGAAAATCTCACTGTTTATTGAATACAATGCATGGTAATGTTGAAGCAAAAGTAACTCTAAATCATGGACTTAAAACAATAATTTTCCCAGCCAAACCCCCAAGGTCTTACATAGTCCATATAACAAGTTCACTTTGTTATGGGAACTGTCTGCTTCAAATCCACACCTTTTATGGTGTTCTTGAAAAGGTTTCAGGTTCTCCCAAGTTTCGTTTCTCTATCTAACCCACTTGAAAGTAACACCTTCTCCTCCCCCTTATTCTAAAGGCAAGTTGAAAGATTCATCCTTGACAGTAATAGTAGTTGCAGAGTATTTTGATATTATACAATCTCAAAGACTTTAATGATTTGATATTTTTCCCTTTTCTAAAAAAATATTCTCTGCTTTTTTCTGACTCAAAGCAACATTTTGAGGATTTCATCTGATAATAAATTGTATCCTGAATAATTTCCAGGATTGCTAGTATTCACACAAGGATTTTGACACTCATCTTAAATGAGTCTCAAATGCAGGAGCTGATGCAGAAATGTTTCATCTTTTTTTCCTGATATTAAAAAATATTTTAAAAACTGTGATTTAAATCACAATTATTGGGCAATATAAATACTTCTATTTATGTCATACTAATGAGTTTTGGAAGCAATTACAGTGCATATGTAATTCCTTATGAGGAATTTCTATATGGTGAAGGATTCTAAGTTTATTAAAATTCTTTTTGTAATTTTTATTCTGTATACATACAAACAGTATGTGTGTATGTGTACATTCTATGTGTATTACTTTTGGAAGGGCATACAAAAAAAAACTTCATCATTTTCTATGATTACATGTCTAGAGGAGCCCTGGTGGCACAGTGGTTAGAATGCAGCATTGCAGGCAAACTCTGCCCAGAGCCTGGAGTTTGATCCTGACCAGCTGAAGGTTGTCAGCCTTCCATCCTTCTGAGGTTGGTAAAAGGAGGACCCAGATTGTTGGGGGCAAAACGTTAAGGGGTCTTGAGGCCTCACCTGGGGGAGATCGCCTAAAAAGGTATGTTTCTTATCTGCAAACCTCCAGCTCAAATTGGTTCTGCCCATTTCCTTTTTTATACATATGGTAATTTTAAAATTACACCAATAAAAAATAATAGATGCGGCTAGAAGATCAATAAGAGATGAAATATATAAAAAAACAAGAGACGAACCAATAATATATAAGGGTAAAGAAATAATTGTATTAAAACAAATACCACATAGTATACAAAATCAGAGACAAGAATACCAATTTTTAACGACTCAATTAATTAAATATAAAGTCATGTTTCGTTGGTTAATACCTGAAGGCACACTTTTAAAAAAAATACAAGATAGATACACTTGAGAAAGCACAGGACTTTTATGAGAGTTACTTTTCACAAGGAGAAGAACAAGAAAGTAGGGAAGAGCCGGAGAGTAAAAGTTATGATGAAGATCTATTAGAGGAAGTTGATCGAGAGCGAGAAATACAAAAGTTACAAGAAAGAGAAAGATTAGAAAGAGAAGCAAAAGGAAGACTTATAGAGACAAGAAGCATAAAACAATATAAAAACAAAAAAATAGATCAAATTAAAAATGGGAGACATAATTAAGCTCTTTTCTGTAAACATTAATGGATTAAATATATCAAGAAAAAGAGTTTAAACGTATAACAATTTAAGGAAATTGGATGTAGATGTGATGTATCTTTAGGAAGTTTATATAAAATAGGATTATAGAAAATTACTAGAGAAAGTAAAATTTAGAAACTATACACAATATTAGCATAAAACAAGAAAGGAGGAATTATTATATATGTCAAAGAAAAAATAAAATAAAATCAATATACTTGGATGAAAAGGGGTGAATTTTAATGTTGGAAATAGTATTAGAATAAAAACAGTATATGCACTAAATAATAATTAACATTAATCTTTTTTAAAAAATATAAGAAGCTAGTGGAATTGGACTATGAGAATATTTGTATGATCACCAGGCCTAGATGGAATTCCGAGTCTTATAAAAAATACGAGAGTTACTACAATGAATAATATTGGATTCCTAGTAAGTAGTAGAATATGAAAGAAGGAAAACATAAATAAGAAACAATGGGGCAATAAGGACAAATATTTCAAAGAAGAATGAGGGGGGAAATGTAAAGAAGAGTACTGTTACAAATTGCTGTCAACAAAAAAGGATATATTACGTGTGTATGTGTGTAATGTTTTGTTGTGTTTTGTTTTGTTGGTCTAAAATACTTTTTTTTAAAAAAAAGTAATGCCAACTGAAAAAATAGAATAAAATGAATAGAATATGCAAGAAAAAAGGAATACTAGAAAGACATAAAGAAAAAATAAAAATATTGTAAAGAGAAATAAATGACTTCCCATAATCCTCATAACAAATATAAATAATTTTAATAACTTATCACCTTCTCTTAAAGTACAAATGATCTCTTATGCTATCTCTTATTTAAAATAAATCCCTAAAGTGTCATCATTGCAGTCCCGAGGGTTATCAGAGATAACATATCTATCTTAATCTTGATTAGGTAAACCAACTTTATATTTTTTTTCCCTTTTACTTTTTACAGTCGTGATCCTTAGTTCCTTCAAATAATGTCATAGAACTTCATTTTTAGTTTTTAGTTTTTTCTTTTTCACAGAATTATTCAAAACTTTAGTAAGACTCTTTTGTAAATCCAGTATAGGAAAATTATCCAGGTCCCTCTCTTGGATTATTTTTTTTGTATATCTCATTTAATTATTAGGACAACAGTCAGTTTCTTTTATATATCCAGGGTGACATCTTTTTGTGAGCCATTCTTGTAGAAATCCACTTTTAACTGAGTCTTACTTTTTAAAGTAGAATTTGCTTTTTTTTTCATAAAAAGTTTAGGCACAAACTATCCATAAAACAGACACTTCTAAAATTTAACTTCTGATTTCATTGTTCAAAAATATCCGTTACCATATCCAAATGTTAAATTATTTTGCTTCATCTTATAATGGTAAACTGAGTGTTCTTTTCCTTTAATTGTCCATTTTAAAAAATCTTAATATGTTTCAAACCAGAAGTGTTTTCTCATGGAAAGGAATGGGAATGTTGTTTATTCCCCCTCCACCTCCGTGTTGTGTTTGTTGCCTGTGTATGCAGCTTTTAAAGGAAATTCAGTGTTTAAAATCTGTCAATCCAATGGTGACTAATAAAGCAGTGAAAAAGCCATTTCTGAAAGTGATTAAGAAAAGGGGGTACGTGAACTCTACCAACCCACAACTTCACCAGAATGGCCATTTCCTTGTCTCCCAGAAATCTCAACCCACTGCCGACTGCTGCCTCGCAGTCTCCTCCTGAGGAGCAGCGGTCTGGGGCACTTGTGAGTGATCTCAAGCCTTCTGCTTATCCAGAGAGGAATTAGAGAGAACTGGTCTACTTGTCTGCACTACATCCTGCTGCAGTTGCCAGCCCTGCTACTCATGGAGACATCTTCACTCGGCCATTTCTTCTCCAGAAATCCGTTTCTGCCTGTTTCCTGTTCCCTTCTATCCAGTTTTTGACTTCTTCTCCCATGCCTCATCATTTTTGGCTCTAAGGGAGATCAGAACCTGGCCTCACAGCCACTTTGCTTGCTCCCTCCTCCCGCTTTTTTTCTTAATGAGATGACTGACCAGCAGAAGCTGACTAGCAAACATATTCCTGGCTCAAAGTCTGTAACTGAAGTGTAATTGAAGGGATGTCTGGAAGCAAATTCTTTTCCCAGTGGCCATGGCTCTCAGGAGCCCTGATTTCTCATTTCTTTTCTTCACATAATGTTCTTAAACTTCAGTTCTTTAACAGCACTCAAGCAGTAGCTGCACAAATGGGGATAATCAGTAGATGGCAGCCAACAGATACAAAAACTCTTTCCTCTGTTGGTTGTTAAGTCAAACAGTCAAATAAATGACTTACAGCTTGAATAATTTTTTTAAAAGTTTACTGTGACAGCAAAACAACATCAAGCCAATTGTTCACTGGATAACCAGAACATTGTGCAGACCAACTGGAGAAGGTTTAGCACAGTGAATACGGTTGATGCAGCTTGAATTTCAGCCAATTTCAGTGCTTTAGAATGCTGTGTGCGTGTTTGTGTATGTGTGTTACAGGTAGAGCAGGGCAGAGATAGGGTTAGGGTAATTCCATAATTTTATCCAGTGATGAGATTCAAATATGTGAACAACTGGTTCTCTGTGTGGATGCTGCTTCTGGAAGTCCATTCTGGGCCTGGGCAACAAAAAATTAGCTACCGGCTCTGCCGAACTGGCTGGATCCCACCACTGATTTTACCTCCTGCACACTCCAGCCCCACTACAAGGGCCACATTTAAGATAGCAGGTGATGGTTTGTATGAGAGCAAACAGCTGTATGGATCCACTCAGAGTCTTTTCAGTGGTGTAGCCTCCCTCTGGGTCTGTGCCCTTGAGACCCTTATTCAAGGAGTTTTCCCAGCCTTTTAAAAACTGCATTTTGACTTAGATCAGTTTTCATTTTACTCTATTGGAACAGACTGCTATACTATTACCTTCTTTCAGTCACCACTAATTTTTATTTTATCATAGTCATTCTTTACTTGCAAATTTATTAACACCCCTCACCCTTTTGTATGATACCCTGTGAATATATCTTTATGCAAGAAGAATGCAGTAATTTTTTTGGGAAATTTACAGCTTACTTACATAGATTCTTTAGGAGCCAGAAATGGTGAACTCTCTTCAGACCTTCAAGTACAGAACTAAAGAGCGTAATCTCTCCTCTCTCTTACATCAGCCTTTTTCTATACCCTCATTCACCATCTGTAAAATTTCTTGCCTTCTCCACATCCATTTGGGCAAAGGGGGACTTTGGACTTTTTACCTGACTTGTGGGTACAAGTCCAGCTTCTAATCCAGCCTTCATGGACCTTCAATAAATTGGAATTGCAACTTCAAGGATGTTACAGCTAGGCTGAGTTGCTTGAATACAAATATTAGTTGACTACATTTATACAAGGAGGAAAAAGAATGTTTCTCTTCACTTCGACCATGAAGAGTAGTTTTGTAACTGAGCTTGCGTTGTTTGTTAACACGTTTTCAACATAAACTTTTAGAGAAAAAATGGCAAAAAAAAAAAAATCCAGAACATCAATTTAAACCCTGTATTACAGTAAGTAAGAACGCACAGTCTAATAAACATGGACGACTACTTCTTGGTATAAAGAAAACCAACTATTTTCACTTAGCATGCTGAAACCAAAGTATAGGCCAAAATTTCAGGTCGTGACTTGGGCCCCTTGAACGGCTATTTGTAGTTGCAACTTTCTCTGCACCGTTTCTGAAGAGGCACCATGGAAGTTGAGCCAAACCACGTCAGCCCCATCGTTTAGGCTCAGCTAGGCCCGCTCCCCTTGAAGCTAACGGTGCCTACGCTGGGCAGCCCCGGGGCCTTCCGCCCGCCCAGACTCCTGGCCAGGGGCCTTGCTGGCTTCTCTTGGGCAGAAACTCCAAGCCAGACCGTTGAGAAAAGGGCTCCCCGGCGCGGCACGAGTGCGGCACCCGGGGCCCCGCAGCCGATGCCTCGCCCTCTTTCCCAGAAACTTCACGGGCGGCCTCGGTCTCCAAAGAGCCGGGAAGGCTGCCTGAGAACCGGAGGGGGGGAAGGCCCGCTCCCGCGGCTGGCTGAGGCAGAGCGATGCCGGGGACTCCCCGAGCGGCCGCAGCGGGATGGCGAAGCTTCCTCCCGGGGCGGACTTCGCGACCGCTTCGAGGCAGGGCTGCCCGGGCGGGGGCGGTGGTCCACGGGCTCCGCTTCCCCCGGACCAGCCTCACATCGGGCTCTGGCCCCGCCGATCAGCGTTGCGGCCTGCCTGCCTTTTGCGGCGCCCGCGCTTCAGCAGGACCTGCCTTCGGCACGTGGAGCTGGGCGTGCGTATGCAGAGTAGCGCGCTGGGCCGCCGGAGAACCGCTACATAAAGCCCGAGCCTTCGTGGCGGTGCCAGCGTCCCAGGCAAGGCCGGCAGCCTTCTTGCCGGGCCCGCTCGCCTCCCTCGTGTAGGGCGCTGCCTGCCGCGGAAGCAACCGCGTCCGAAGAGGGAAGCGGCGCCAAGCGGAGCAAGGCGCGCGGGAGAAGAAGGAGTAGCGCGTCTCCTCCCAGTCAGCGGCCGAAGAGGGCCTGCCCGCCTGGCTTCTCCGCTTCGCCCACTTGTTGCTGGTCTCTGCTCGGCCCAGCTGATTGGGCTGCCCGGCCCCCGCTCGACTCCGCTCCTCCCCGGCCGGCCGGAGCGCGACCTCTCGCTCCCGGCGCCAGGAGGGGGCAAAAGGGGCGGGTCGCCTCAGCCGCCTCCAAAGCTGCCGGTTCGCGCGCCTGAGTCGCTTCACTTCGCTTTAGTCCGGGTGAGGGAAGCCGGGAAGACGCGAGGTGCTCGCCCTCTTCGTGCGCCCGCCCGCCCTCAGTCGCGCTCAACTTTCGCCTCGCTCAGTCGGAGCCGCCGCGGAGCCGGCCTGCCTGCTCGTTTTTTCCGCCGAGAAAGTTAATAATTGCAACAGGCGCGGCGGAGGCAGCGTGGCACCCGCCGCCTCTCCCCCTTGGCAGCCGCTGCCCTCCTAGGCCGAGCTCTCGGGCGCTTCAGCAGGCCAGCCCCGACTTCCGGATCAGTGTCCCAAAAGCGGCAAGCCGCGTCTCCCGGCGCGCCACCTGCTCAGACCTGCCCTCCTCCCGGGCACTCCGACGGCTCTTTGCCCTGAAAGGGATGATCGCCCGCTTCGGCCGCCGCCGCCTCTTCTGATAAAGGTGCCAGTCGTCGCGGCATCCCCGCTCCGCCGAGGACTCCTTCCCGAGGTCGAGGTCGCCCTTGCCAGTGAGGGAGCCGCGAAAGTTCATCCCGCGCACTCGCCACCAACGGGGCATGGAAGTTCACGTCGGGCTGGGCAGGGTGTATGCCCGGCCGCCGGGTAAAACTTTCCGCGGAGCTTTCCAGAGCCTTTTCCAGAGCGTCCGTGAGGCTTTCCAGAGTCCCGGCCCCGGCGGAGCTCGAGAGGAGGTCGGGCCCAGCAGCCAAGCGGCGGGCTCTCCTTCCGTAGGCCCGCCGGGCGCCGGTCTGCAAGAGCCCAGCCCGCGACAGCAGCAGCGGCAGCCCGGCTCCCCTGCTTACCTGCCGGGGGATGAGGCTGCCGCAGGCAGCAAAGGGCTTCAGCCGGCCGATCGCGAGCCCCAACCGGCCGGCGCCGCCGCCGCCTCGGCATCCCCTTCGTCCCTGGCATTGCTGGCTCCCTCGTTCCAGAGCTGCTCCGGGGACCTGAAAGACATCTTGACCGAGAGCAGCCTCTTGCCCGCGGCAGCGGCAGCGGAAGGGGAGCCGCGCGGCGACGGGGCCGCAGGCGGCGGCGGAGCCAGCGCGGCCAAGGAAGACTACTTGGGCGAGAGCGCCAAGGAGCTCTGCAAAGCCGTCTCTGCCTCCATGGGCCTGGCGGTGGAAGCGCTGGAAGGGCCCGGCGGCGGCGGCGGCGGCGAAGCGGCATCGAGCCGCGGTGACTGCATGTTCGCGCTGCCGGGCGCGCAAGCTCGGTCCGTGGCCCTGGGGGGTTGCAAAATCGTCGAAGCCGAGCAGGAAGGCGGCGAGGGCGCGCTGGCCATGGACGTACCGGGCCACCTGAACCTGTTCAAGAACTCGCCCGAGTTGGACGAGCCGCCGGCGGGCGCCTTCCAGAGCCGCGACTATTACAACTTCCAGCTGGCGCTAGCCTCGCACGGCCGCATCAAGCTGGAGAGCCCGCTGGAGTACGCGGCGGGTGGCATCTGGGGCGCGCAGTACCGGCGCGCCGGGGAATTGCCCGCCTTAGCGCCCCACTACGGCGCCCCTCCGGGCGCGGGCTGGCACCCCTTCTTCGCGGAGGACGCGCAAGTCTACGGCCCCTGCGCCTCGGCCGAGGGCGCCGCCCCGACTACCTTCGGCTACGGCCGGGGCCAAGGGCCGACCGGCCAGGAAGGAGCCGACCTGCCTTCCGAGGTGTGGTATCCCGGAGGCGTGATGGGCAGGATGCCCTTCGCTCCGGCGCCCGGCTGCATCAAGACGGAGCTCGGGCCTTGGATGGAGGGCTACGCGGGCGCCTACGGAGACGTGAGGTAAGGAGTCGCGGCGGGAAGAGCGGCCGGGAGGGCCCCGGGGACCCCCAGGGAAGCCGCGTCCGCCACCTGTGCGCTACAAGGGAAGGAGAGGTGCCGACCCGCCCGGGCTGGGCCCTTGGACGACGCCTTGCTTTCTCTGGGGCGGAAAGTGCCCCTCCGTCCGGGGGAGCGCCTTATCCCGCCTTGGCTTTTGCTCGAGCGAGGCTCGGAAGGGGCGATTAGATGAAGGGAAGGTTTGGGGGGTGGCAGCAATAACGGTTAAGGAGCCCCGGGCAACTCTGTGAGCGCGGACGAGGGGCTGTTTCCTTGCGTTTCGTTGAAGGGCCTGGCTGAGTCACCTCGGAGTGAGGGAAGAGGTTTTCACCAGAAATTTTGAACTGAACTTTCAGATGAAGTAAATCAAACAGCCCCATTTGTGAAAATGAAGCTACAGCATTCACAGACCAGGGGACCAGTCCCTTTTTATATATGGAAGAGCAGATTACAGGCCCCTGCTGATGATCTAGATTTTTTTCCCTTTTATTCTATGTTTATGGAAGTTTTTTCAATAGCCAACAACAGATGTTAAATGATGTAAATTGTGTGAATAATAGCTTGAATTGAATCATAAATTGTACATGTGTACACATTTTTAAAAAGCAAGCTGGGTAAAACAAATGCAGACAACTTTTTCCTGACAAAATTATTAATATATTAATATTAATATATTTTGTCCTTTAAAAGGAGAGTATTCTACTGGATTAAATGGGATTTACTTTGCATAGATACAGTACTAGCTTTATGTCATTAAAAAGATGAGCCATGTATTTGTGCACGACCCAAGAAAACATCAGTTACTCCAATGTGGTAGCTCTGACCCATGGACTTACCTACAGTTTGCTTGCTAGAGTATCTTAATCTTTTTTTTTTTTATTGAAAATTTTTAAAATTTTTACAAATAAGGAAAAGAAAAGATAAAAAACAAAAAACAAACCTACCCAACCACCCCAACCCTCCCACTCCATCCCCCCAACCTTCCCAGAGCTGAATATAGGCTTAATTAAAATTTCTAAAAATCTTAAAAAGAGATTAAAAAAATATAAACCATAAATATATCTAAATACATTACATAAGCTTATAAGATAATTAACAATAATATATATACATATATAAAAAGCATAAATATTAAAAAAGAAAAATGCTTAAAAAGAAAAAGAAGAAAAGAAAAAAGAAAGAAGAAAAGATGTATATATAAGAAAAAAAAGAAGTAAAATAAGATAAAATAAAAATAAGAAATATAAGGAAAGAGAAGAAAAAAAATACAATCTATAAAATATTAAGGTTTATATATAAGTTATTGAAAAACTAAGTAATATTTTTTTATATCCAACTTATGTTGTATAAAATCTATCCATTTTTCCCATTCTCTTGCGACTGATCCTTTAAAAAAGCCGAAATCTTTGCCATTTCCGCCAAATAAGAAACTTTAAAAAACCATTCTTGCAAGGTAGGCAAAGATTCCTTCTTCCAGTATTGCCCTACTAACAACCTTGCGGCTGTGATTAAATTTAACATCAGTATAACCTCCTTAGCATCACAATCAGTAACGATACCCAACAAAAACAATTGTGGGGTAAATTTTACCCTCCTTCTAAAAATTCTTTGAATATTCCACCATATCTTAATCCAAAAAGCTTTTATATAGAGTATCTTAATCTTATGAAGCTTGTAGACATTAACTTTGGCAATAGTGACTCGCAATAGGTTGTATTTTCCATAGATTACCTTTTAAAATGCTAAGCCAACAACATGATTTTGGTTACTGTAGGCAAAAAGTTTAGTTAGCCAGCCTTTCTGGCACCTGCAGTAAGATATTCCTTGGCCATATGTTAAAATGGAAGCCAGGATAGGTCCCTTTCTAGACTCCGACATGAGGCGGTGGAGGTGCAGCTTTTCACAAGGGCTTAATTTTATACTATTATTTATTACTAACAATAAAAAGAATGAAACATTCTTACCTAACATTTGATTTGTCCATTTGCACAATGTGTTTAGATATCTCAAGTTTTGTTTCAGTGATCCAGCAGTATAAGATTTATTTGGTTTACTTTGTTTTGAATAAACGTGATTGGACTCATATACAAATTCTCTAATTTGATCATCTCTCAGATCCAGAAGCTGAGATTAAGCTAAACACATACACACAAACAAACACACACACACAAATAAATACCTGAAGGAAAGACAAAAGGGAAAAATAAAAATAAATTAAAATCCAAATTGATCTAAGTCCTGAAGAAAAACTGCAGTGTAGTGGTGTCTATAAACTGCATAATGATATAGTTGTGGTAATGCATAATATTTATTCAGCGATTTCACCAAAATCCTGTTGGATAAATCTAACTAAGCTGATGCTGCTACTGTAGAGAGTGGACATCCCAGTTCCCTGTGATCAACTTTGCGTTCCATGCTTGGTATTAGACAAAATGCCTTTGAAGAAAGCAATTTATATGGTAGCAAGTCAGTTAAATGTACTACTGTACAAGCAAAAATATCAGCCCATTGATGTACATTTATTCAAATTCTTTTCAATTTGAACATTTAGAGTAGTGGTTCCCAACCTTTTCTACACCCCGCACCCCTGGAACGCTTCTGATATATTCTCGCACCCCTTACAAAAATTCAAAACAACGGCAATGAATTATGCATATACACTATAATTTTGAAAACCCAAGTTTTCGCACCCCCTGGAATATCATCTCGCACCCCTGGTGGGGAACCCCTGATTTAGAGCATCCACCATTTTCTTCTGGCCCCTTTAACTGCTTCTCGGACATGAGGAGGAAAAGGCAGCCTCAGCCCCACCTTGTGGTTCCTGCTTTACTTCAAAGTCCTCTTGATCTAACTCTCCCTTTCCTAGTTGGGGCTACTGTTTATGGTTACATTAAAGTGTTGCTAAGAATTGCAAGCAAAATTCTGCTGAAAGTATCTTCAGCAATGTGTTGTCTGGAAATTAGCAACTAGCATTGGCTAAACCATAAGAATTACACCATAACCTAAATTTCTGGTTAATGTATATTAAGGCAACTGTTGGTCAGTTAACATGTATGCCTATTTGCAGAAGTCAGTCCTGCCAATACTTTGTAGGAAAGCTTCTTTCTATAGCATGAAAAACAGCTATCAGTGCTTCTTTAGTGGAAGAAGTTTTGAATACATAAAGTATTAAAATTGTCTATGTGATATATTGCTTGAATATTTCCCATTCAGATTCGCAATGCCCACATATAAAATATTCTACAGCACTAGGAACCAGACACTTAGAAATTTGATAGACTAATACTGAAAAAATATTTCAGGCTGCCCATTTGTGATAATAATAAAAAAGATATGTTGTAAGTGCTTTAAGTATCCTTTCCCTTCTTAGCATTTATCTTGGACCTAATCCAATTTTCTATGGAATCTAATGGAAAGTTCCCCATTGACGTCAATAGGCCTGGATTGACTCTTTACGTTTATGACTGTAGGTCCTGTTGAAATGTTACAGTATGGTGATCCAAAGTTATTTATGATGTGGTTCTTGCAAGAGGCCTCTTTGCCTTTTGTTGGAATGGAACAGCAGATCCTGCTGGTGTGTTCAGTTGCCTTTGGAGCAGTATATCCATAACTGATTTATAGCAAAACTTCTTTGCTTTCATTTGAATTGGACCACAGCTCTTTGTTAGCAGATGGCATCATAACTAGAACAGAAATTCTAGTTATGACGTGTCCAGTAGGAGTTCTCTTAGGTTGGTAGCCATGGTTCTGGTGTGAAATATCTGTATAAAATACAAATAGACTTCAGGTTTAAGAAAATCAATCTGAAAAAAGTTAATAGTTTGCATCTGAATCATGCCTCAAGCTCCTGTATTTTGCTACAATACAGAAAATTGTGAACGTGGTTATTTCTTGCTTGGCGATAAAATGGAATCTCCATGCAAGCTTTTCTTTCTGAGGGGCTTGTTGCAAACTAGGGGCTGAAGTAGTCATATTCCAACCAAAATGGATGCTTTTGCCCCCCCCCCGTTTCATCTGAACGGTTAAACCTTTTGCTTTAAATCCTGCACCTTAGAAGTGATCAATTCTGGCAGCGCTGGTGCTATAATTAATACTATATTGTACAAGCAAAAGATGAAGAGTTTGAGAGAAGGCAGCATTTTAAATGCTGAATTTGTTCATGATACTTGCAGAAGTTTGCTTATTTATTTATTTATTTATTTAACTTCTTTTCATAACTCCCATCTGTGAGGTTCTCATGTGACTCCATGGGGTAACTTGTACATATTTAAAACTGGAGGTCTTTCTGGCTGCCCGTTTGCCCACAACGTCTGTTGGCTACATCCATTTAGGCTGCAGCCCTGGGGTGCCTTGCCTGGAGAGTGAAAGCAGCCGGTGAGGTCGTGGCTGAGGAACACAGCAGCATATCATAGAAGTGACCATTTTACAGCATCCTATGAGTTAAGCTTATAGCTCTTGCTGGTATTTCCCCCTATATTTCCTTCTGACTTCTACTCCAAAGATAACGAGAACATATGCTGTAGACATTATGGATTGCAGATATGAAAGGGGAGTGTTCAGGGAGCTTTGATCTTGTAATGTATAAATCTGAGAGCAAATGCTTATAAAGGTAGATTCATTTTTAGATTATTCCCCTCTCCTCAATGTATTCTCCCTAATTTAATTCCTACAGGTTATGTGAAGCTCTTTGTTTGTTGCTGCTACTCAAATTCATTTGGCTGTGAGCAGCTTTCAATTTACTCCTTATAGGAAGAAAGAACGCACAATAAATTATGGGTGCTGAGATTTATTTATACACGCAGCGTCCTCTCATCTAACCAAGTAATGAGACTGTGGATCCTTGTGCTGGTTTTCCTCTCCTTTCTCCCCAGATTCTCAGTCAAATGACAAGGTTCAACAGCAGTAATTTCTGTGACTGAAACACAGTTCCATAAAAAATAATTAGCTAAATATATTGCCTGTTT